AAGTGAGTAGCCAAGTAGCGAGGATTCTAGTCAGTGGTATAGTGAGAGCACAAATCAGATATGCTGCAAGGAAGCTGCAGGTTTTCTAGGGTAAGGTGCTTAAGGTCAGCTGGTTACTGGTTGAGGCTTCCTTGTATGCGGTCCTCAGAAGGAAGGATTAGTTGCCAGGGGTACGATGGGTGTGGGTTTCTGTTTTGATTGAAGGCTTGGGTTATGTAAGTCTTCATTCATTTCACATGTCCATTCCCAGGATGTGTTTGATTTTAATCATATACATGCCCAGCTATGTACAGGTGTAAGAAGATAAGTAAGGGTTTTCCTGAAATGTTTGCTCAGAGAACACAGTTTGCTGTACTGTGCATATTCCGAAAATCAGCTCAGTCTGGGTTCCCATTTCTCCACCGCTCCAGGAAGTCCCAGGGTATGTTCTAGGACATTTTTGAATGGATACAGGGAGTTACATAGACTGTTATGATGTAATAACATATTGTGTTTTGGGGTGTATGTGCAGCTCAGCTTGATGCAGTTTGGGGGCCTCAGGTAGCCTAAATGCATGGTTAGGAAAGGGGTAAGTATCCATCTCAAGCCAAGTGGAGTCCTATATTGCCATGATTTCTTATATTTGCCTACCTCAAGAGGATTTGGAAATAAGGGGAGCCAGGACCTTTGAGGGGGCAGCCTCCCCATGGGGGAGAACACCTCACCCTTTAGTTCCCTGACCCCTTTGCTATATGGCTTCTTTCATTTGTCGCCCACTCATTCATCAGACAGCAGTCCACCGCAGGAGTAGGCTGGGCATGTATACTGCTTGGTTCTCCCAGCAGTTCTGTGTGATGGACCTTAGTATTCCAGAAACAGATGAGGACAGCTGCGGCTGAGGGAAGGAAGGGTCTTGCTGTAAACATATGCAATTGGACCAGCGGTAGAACTCCTCTGTGCTCAGCAGCTGTCAAGCTCCATGGCTCCCGGGACCTGAAGATGCTCCTGTGAAGCAGCCAGGGGCTGTGACTTATGACACGAATTTTTGTGAGCTTGGCTCAGAGAAGACTTGGCCTGTGTTTCTCATCCCACAGATCACAGAGAAGATGACACCCTGCAAGCCCGTGGCCACCGCAATGGACTCTGCTGTTAATGGCATTCTGTGTCACTATTTTGCTGACCCTCTGGTAAGAACTTCATCTTTCAAAAAGAAAAGACATATTAACTAAATGTGCCCCCTGCCCCACCATATTGTGTTATAGTAGGTTTCCGCATTTTCAACCTTGTTCACAGAATTTACAGCTTCATGACAAAACTATTCCTTTTCTGAATACTAGGAAACAGAATGCTGCCACCATGATCCTCCCTCGTCCCACACCCAGTCACTCTGATCACCTTCCTTTTCCCAACCACTTTCTCTTGACCTAATGGTTCTCACTAGGGTTGTTAACAGGAACATGGGTGAAGGACTGTTTAGAGCAGTGTGGTACCCACCAAAGACATTTTTTTTCCTTCCCCCATCAACTATTAACATCCTATAAATTCCCAGGGAATCCTGGACTTCCTGAACCCTACCCTCTCTGTGACAGGAAGTTGATGGACCCATCATCAGGGAACCACAGCCGCTCTTTGTTCAAGAGTGCAACAACCATGTCACGCGTGGAAGTCAGCATTCCATAGCACCCCCCAACATTAGCTCTTCCATTCTGTATTCACCTTCCTCTGTGATGTGTCCTGAGCCCTGCCCGGGCTGATATAGAGGCAGCATTTATGGACAGACGTTCTAAAGTAACATTGCGATGACATCTGCAGTTACCATTGTTCGATTAAAAGAAGCCTCTCTGACCAAAACTGACTACAGTGCCGACCAGTGGGCATACATGTAATTATCTGGAAGGTAATTTTATAGGCGTATCATATTCTTTCACCATTGTTACAGCAGTAGCTTCCTCATTAGGACTTACAACCCCCTAGGCAGTCTTGGACTAAATTGACAGTACCAGATGTGAATAACCTTCTGGGGAGCAGACTTTAAATCCAGTTGAAAATAGATTGCTTGCCCCCACCACAGAGTTGCCACTACGTCACCCATGGGCACATCTTCCCTGACCCATAGACAGTGCTGCATGCAGCAGCCTCCACAGTGTCTTCTGGCTCTGTGAGAGCTCGTTAGCAGAGGGGAAGCTTCTAGTCTAGTTCTAGTCTGATTTCTCTGTCTCCTATAAGAAAAGTACGTGGTATCTTCAGCCATAGAGCCTTACCATTTAGTCTGGTTTGCACACAACAGCAGTGGCAGTTGCCTGTATGGTTTTAGAGGTCTCGGGAGCCTCTCTGACCAGCTGGTCACAGGAAGATATCCCAGCGCTGGTGCTGACATTTCTTCAATAACTTCCCGGTTTTGAGTGTAGCCTTATCTACCCGTCCATACAGGGTACTCCCATTCAAACTCTTAAAAATACATTTTGAATTTGAGTGACCAAATAAATATTAGGTTTCCTCACGGCTTTTTCATACATCTTTAACTTCAATTGGCCCTTCCCCAACTCCCTCTCTTCTATTTTCAAGAAGGCATACTCCAAGATTAAGTGTGAAAGCTCATTTCTACATATTGGCAATAAGTTTGTTTGTTTGTTTGTTTGTTTGTTTGTTTGTTTTTCTTTAATGTAGACATTGCTTTTTGAGAAAACATGGTTCAATTTAGTCTGCAGTCAGCCTGCTTCAGGGGGGTACTGGTTTTTTGTTTTTGTTTTTGGAGACCTGGTGTGTAATGAGTGCCACTATACTATATCCTCTGGGTTGTGCTGTTATAAGATATCGATGCTAAAGTAAATTAACCATGTTAACATTGAACTACATGGAAAGGCACTTCAACTTGAGCGTTCAGACTGACAGCTGTCTTGGTTAGACAGGCTGTTTCACAAAGATACACCATGTGGTGTTTGATTAGGTGCTTTTTGACCGTCTTAGACCAAATCATAGTTCCACGCCTAGATGCTTCTGTTCCTCTTTTACAAAATAAACCCAATCTCCAGATCAGCTCATCTTTCAGAAAGACTGTCTGGGTTTCAATAATGTATTGCACTCTATGATGGCTGACTCCTGACAGGTTCACAACTGATTTTGAGAACAAAATCAAAACCTTTAAAAATTGCGCAAAGAAGTCTCCCACTAGCAAAGGTCCTTTCCTATTATCTAACGTCAAGGATTTTACTTCTCCTAATTTGTTGTTGTTTTTTAATCCCCAGAATTTGTTCTGGTTCGGCACAGGAGAAGCTACCGTGCTCTTACTTCCTGCTGTAATCATCGCCGTCAAGCTGGCCAAGTACTATCGCAGGATGGATTCAGAGGACATATATGATGAGTGAGTGTGGGGTTTCTTCAGGACCAGGCATTTCCATGTGGCACTGTCCTCCTAGAGCCACCAGAGTCAAGTTCTCTGGTGAACAAACTTACTTCTGCTGAAGTACTGGGTTGTCCCTTTTCCACCGTTTTTGTTGTTTTTCTTGTTGCTGTTCTTGGGCTTTGTTTGTTTTTAACCAATCTTATGATTCTGTCTTTTTCTTCTTCTTTAATCTCAGCTTCCTTAACCAGTGTTCTTCTTGTTCCAGCTCGTCTGTCTCGGGGACGTGGCATTTCACTTTGTGATAAGTGTCGTTACTACTTTTCACTGGCTCTTGCCTGCCCTTTGCTCTGTGTCTGGTGAACATGCATGCTTCCTTTCACCTCTCATCTTCTCTCATTGTCTCTGGAATCTGAGCTGTTAGCACTCACTGCAGTGAAAGAACTGGGAGGGTACTGTTGATCATGAGCCTTACTAGTGACAAAACAAGTAAATAACCCTATCTCCCCCTTTTATATTTTGTAGTGTTGAGACTGTACCCATGAAAAAGTAAGCCCTTTTATCAACTATCTTCACAGATGGGATGGGGGAGGGTTCTATTACATGGTAGACCTTTAGTTAAATTAATAATATGACAAAAGAGCACCAGATAAATCTGAGTAAACATGAATCATGACACCTCTTAAAGGGTTGGTGCATTGAAGATGCTTACAAACTGCTTGTTGAGTGAATGAGCATTTTATATATTACATGTATTGAGCTATAAAGCCACTTTTTCTCTCTGTGGCTTTGCAAGAGGGAAGATGTAACTATAAGACTCCCTCAAACCTTCTTCTCAGACTTAAAAATTTGTGATGCATGTTTTGTAACTTTTACACTATCTTTGTGATCTATAACATAAATATTTCATCCTAGAGGTAACTTGGTGTTTCTGGTCTATTTATTTTTGTTGCAGTTTGGAAAACGGTAGTAATGGTTATCATAAAGATCATTTATATGGTGTTCACAACCCTGTTATGACAAGGTAAAACAAAGCCTGAAGTGCATGCCTAGCCTGTGGTGAGCCTTTTTGTCTCTCCTATCCTTGACACCAAGACTTCTGCATGCTCTTGATGCCCTTTCATTTCTGCATGACACAGCACTGGCTAGCTCTAGTCACGTGCTGCATAGCATTCCACAGTGCCGGGTGCATACATATTCAGTGGAACTGAGAAGCACCTAGACTGAATGTCATCTGAAAATGCTATGAGCAACTCTACATCCTAATGGGTGACATGCATGTGCACCTCCCCTTAGCCTTCCTCTGCCTCCTTCTCTCTCCTCCCTTCTCCCTTCTTCCCTCCCTTCTTTCTTTCTCCCTGGCATATTATCTGTAATCTACCAGAAAATGAACTCAAACCTTTTCTCCAAAAACCCTTGGGCTTCTGTGTCCCCTGGAGTTAAGGGGCTTCCTGTGGGTCTGGTTTTGCCAGATAACTCTTGAGTATTACCTTCCAAGTGTATTCTGTTGCATTCTCTACACTTTCAGACAAGGCATGCCCATCAGAGGCATCCTTTCTGCTGAGAAATGTGGTCACCCCCATGGCTACACGGTTGGCTCCGAGTCATGCTCAGCGACCCAGGCGATGTTGTCTCCCCCCCCCCCTCCCAGTTGCAAAGCAGCGAGTGCATGGGGAATCTTGCTTGTCAGAGAAGGTCCATGCTCCACCTGGGACATTTCCCCTTAAGAGAATAGATACCACATTCAGGGAAGTCCCCACTGTGGCGTCCTCACCAGATGCTTCCACACAGGAAGCAGTGTTGCCTGGAAATAGCGGATATCCCATCAATGCCAGCTTTCAAGAAGAACAGAACAAGAAAGTTAATAAAATTTCTCCTTTCAGGAAAAAAGGTTCCCTGTCCCCAACTTACAACTTGGAACATTCCAAAACTTAAGAACCCCCAAGTTTCAATTGTCTCCTACAGGAGAAGTATCATTTTAATGTCTGTGTTGCCATAACAAAATAAGCAGTGTAGCTTATAAAGAACAGAAATTTCCTTCCCATGAGTCTGTCCCCAAGACAGTGTCTGTTAGGGCAGATTTCTCACACATGATGTCTCCTGTCCTCACTGTGTCTTCACATTGTGGTGGTCTGTGAGTTCTTTGGAGTTTCACATCGTAAACACTTCCCCAAAGTGTCTCCCTGCCTCTTCCCACCCCCACTTTCTGATCCCATCCTCCTGGAGATCAGAATCTCTTTTGATGAATTTGGAGGTATGCAGATGTTCAGGCCATAGCAGAAGTGGTGATGGGGGAGGGGCAGTAAGGTTCTGAAGGATGGGATAAAAATCTACTTTTCTGATAATGTGCTGAGCTTGACTGCTAGAATGCTATGTTTTGAGATGGCTTCAAGGCAAGCATCAGTTTACCAGGTTTGATCCAGAGCATATAAGACAGTGCTATGAATGGCCTGTACTCTATGCTAGCCTCCCTCTCCCTGTCATGACAAGCTTGGAGGGTATCTCACATTTCTCAGCTGAGATTTTCATGGTCAGAGAGGAGCTCTTTACTGCCAGTGACACCCCAACAACTTGCTGGGTGAGTTTAACTGACTTCTGGTGCTCAGCCCCTTGTTGGGACATCTCCAAATGCCAGCTCTTGAGCAGGACTTTCTGCCTGGAGAGTGCTGGAGAGAGATGTGCTTGGGTGGGAAGGTGTGGCCAGTTGTGTCTCTGGCAGAGATGCTATGATGGAATTTGGGCTGCAAGATGTTTATGAGGATCTGTAGTTGTGGGAGGAAGGAGAAGCCTGGGAGGAGCTGCCACAGCCTTATCTCAGCAGAGGGAGCATACACCACCTTTTCGACGTAACCCTTATAAAATAAATGCAGCCTTTATAGCTCACCTCCTTCATCTGTGGGATCTGGTGGAGCCCCTCAGGTAGAGCAGTTTAGCAAAAAGCTGTGCCATGGGGGCTCTGGCGGAAGGACCACTAGCTGTGCCCCACAGCTAGTGAAAACCCCATCTTAAAAAGGGCTTAGGGGTGTAAGAATTATAAGGAAGACCCACCCAAAGAGACCTTCTTCACACGTTAGACTGGGTATCGGCTCCCTTCATGTGGGCTTGGGAATATGATTCCACTTAAACACTGGCATTCTACCTGTAACCAGGATAAAGCTAGATGAGAGTGCAAAAACCACTCAGTGCTTCATGAAGGTGCTTGGCCCTTCAGGAAAAGCTTTGTGACACTCCCTGATACTTGAGCACGGTAGGGTCAGTGTGACCAGCTCTTACCTCATGGGGAGTTGGGCAAGGGAAAGTCTTCGTTAGTGAAAAAGCATATTGTTAGTGATAAACTCAGTTTCATAAACAAATTTGATATTGCCCCCTTTTATATTTGCTATCAATGCACATACACATACCCACCCCACCTCTGGTCAGTCTGCCGTATGACCTGTGGTGGGTCATTTGCTTTTGCCTAAGAAAAAGGCAATGGGCTTTCCTCTGAGCCTTGAAGCCTGGGGTCTTTCTACATAAGGGCTAATTCTGCCTCCTGAAAGTCTGCACCAAGAAGAGGCAGTTTCCTCTGCAGAAGTGTATTTGATGTAACAATCTACCTGACAAAAGTAATTTACAGAAGGAAGAATTTATTTTGCCTCACATGCATGGCAGAAGGTCATGGTGACGGGATCATTTCTGGTCACACTGTAGGAAGCAGTATGGAACACTCTGCTTCCACAGTGAGGGAGCAGACAACACGGATGCCAGAGTTTGGCTTATTTTCTCCTTTTTACTTAGTTCAAGACCCCTAACCCGTCCAAGATGCCACCCATATTTAGGGTGGGTCTTCCCAACTCAATTAACCTGATCTAGAAAATCTATTACAGACATGTGCATAGATGTGTTTCCATGGTGATTCTAAATCCCATCAAGTCATCCTCACAGGAAGCATTGGGTCTGACCAACATCGGATGGTCGGTCTCTTCTCTAGAGGTTCCCATTCTGTACCCCAGACTGGCCTGGAACTCATGGCAAACCTCCTCTTTCAGTTTCCCAAGTGCTAGATAGTTGGCATATTTGTTTTATCTATTTTATTAGGTTCTTATATCTACCCCCCTTCTCCACTCCCAATACCTCCCAAACCCCCAAAACAAGGGAGGTGGGAAAGAAGTTTAAATGGGAAAGGGGGCATAGGTCTCTTTAGATTGTTTCCTGCTGATAAGGGTCATTGGGTTCCTTGGGACAAGTCCAATCTTCACAGTCAGGATATCCCCAACTTCTTCTCATCAAACAGCAACCAGGAGCAGCAGATGGAAGCAGCCTTCTCCTCCTCCTTTCTCTTCTCCTTCTCCTCCTCCTCCTCTTTCTCTTCCTTTTCCTTCTCTCTGGCATTTATACCTTTCAAGAGTTCTCAGGATTCCAAACCTCAACTATCTGCAGCTGGCAAAACTCACACCCCTGCTAGTGCACAAGGCAAATCATAGTTAATAGCGTGGATAATCTGAAGCAGCCCCTTATTCCACACCTGGGATTAAAACAAAACCATTCACATAACTGTTTTTTGTTTTTTGTTTTTTTTTTAGATTTATTTATTTATTTATTTTTTACATTATTCTGCTTGCATGTATGCCTGTATTCCAGAAGAGGACACGAGATCTCGTTATAGATGGTTGTGAGCCACCATGTGACTGCTGGGAGTTGAACTCAGGACCTTTGGAAGAATAGCCAGTGCTCTTAACCTCTGAGCCATTTCTCCATAACTGGGTTTTTAAAGAAACCAAAACTCTCACTACAGTGAACTATGGGCATTAGCCTGCTTGATGTTTTCCCATTGAATGCTAACAAACCACGTTGGGGAAAGTATTCTGTCCCGTTTCTGTGAAATAGGCCTTCAAGCTTATGCCTTGTCATTGAACTGCAGAAGGCATTCTTTGCACACTGTGCTTTGGAGGTGCTTTAGGAGAAGTGGGAAGGGCCCACCTGTGCCTGTATTTCTCTCCTACTGAAAGGAGAAACATTTGATACTGGGGAAGTGCTAGTACAGCTACAGTGTCTCTGCCTGCACCTGCTTCATCTGTGCTGTCTCACAGAAGGTGCCTGGCGGCTCTTCTGCTGGGTGGCGATCAGGGTGAACCAGACTTGGAACTCACACCCTCCTCACGAAGTTTTGCTGTCTCCTCTTGCATAAATTCTCTGTGGGGGTCAAGGTCACGGTCTTGAAGAAATGTGAGAGGATGGTGGGACTAGTGTTGGCTGTTAATCACAAAGCCACTTCTGGGATATATATCCACACCTGCGCTCATACACTGGGAGTCCAGCAAGATCCCTGCAGAACTTCCATTGGTTTGTGCCTCCCGATCCTAGAGCCAAGCTTTAGGAAGCCATCTGTGGCCAACAGTCACCTGCCACCATCTGCTCTCTGCCACTCTAATGCACTTGCCACCAGTGTCCCTTACCACACATTCCTGGTGCCCATCACCCATTAACCACAGGATGTGTCTTAGTTTCTCTCAATCTGTCTTTCTCATCATCCTACAATATGGATAGATGTTACAACAATCTGCTTAATTGCCATTCTCTGTCCCTGCTTAACTTTCTGGGGTTTGGTCTGTATTCACCTGTGACAATAGTCAAATCCTGCTTCTTAGCACAGGGCTAACTGGGACCACTTGCAGCCCAGCCCAGAGTGCCACAGTTCTCTGTTTTGTTTTTGTTTTTAGCTCATCTCGATACTGACAACTGCTTGAGGTGAGTTTGATGTTTCAATCTAAAGCTGCTTGAGGTAAGTTTGACGTCTCATATAAATTAATTTATATGAGACATTAATAAATTAATTATAAATTAATTTATAGGGCTATTTTTAGTTCATAAAACATCAAAACATAGGTAATTCTAACATATTAAGTGGAAAATTCAAGTAAGTATGTAAGTTATACAATATGCTTTTAATTACATGGAATCCAGTTATACTCCATGATTAATAAGGTGTGCAGGTAGATATATGTGGATACACACACGCACAGCGATTGATCAATGTCAGAAACTAAACTCTAGACGAAGCATGAGATAATGCACACAAGGCCAGCCCTCCTGTCTCTCAAATAAATGTATGTTTTCTGTACTTCTCGGTCTCCTGGCAGAACCTTCTAGGATTCTACATTCTTGCTTTCTTTTGTAACTCAAAGCCAGCCTCTAAAATTATGTTTGATCTCCATTTCAGCATCAAGACAGTCAAGATGGAAATCACCCTGGACTCTGGATAGTTTTTGACTCTTCTCAAACCTTGCAAGTGCAGAAGAAAGCATAGCGGCAAATGTGGAGACTCAGGCGGGCCCTGAGAACACAGCCCCAGTGGTTTCAGGGTTGTGCTTTGTCAGGAATGAACAGTTACGATGGTAATCCACGTTCTCCGCTGTTCTGTTTTTTAACTTTTTTTTTTTTACACTGAATTTCTATTTAGACACTAAAACATATGGGGGCGCTTGTTCCCCTGGATACAGATACATTTATTTGTGAGCCAGCTATTCAGATGTCATAGCTGGGTACCTAACTTACTTCCGTATGTGAAGTGTGCTAAACACAAACCAGTTTACAGAGAAAAGATGTATTTTGTTAATAATAAATTGTATATACACCTTCTTACCACAATCAGTTTTTTAAACAAATGAGCACTCTAGATTGTTTTTTTTTTTTTTTTTTTTTTTTTTTTTCTAAATGAGGTTACTGTTGGCTTGGGGTTGACTCAGTGGTGCTGTAGAAAGGAATAGGCATACAGTAAAAGAGTGTCAACCCTGCAGCAAGCTTGTCCTTCTCTGTGGACTTCTGTCTGCTTGTTGCAGATCTGCCTGTTGTTTAGAAACAGAATTCAACAGCAATCACTGGGAGACCCACTTGACACCACTAGCAAATTTGGGACAGAAGGACTTTGAGAGAGAAAATGTTGCTTGCCGGAAGCGGAATCATTTTCAAAGACGCCAGTCCCGGTTCACAGTTTAGTGTCAATCTTCTGATTTGTAAGGATGGGCATTAAGTTCAGTGTCATCTGATTACCTGTGAGAATCTAAAATGAGGTGCAAGAGCTCCTGTCATGATTCTGAGATTTGAAATAAAGCGTGGATGAATGGAGCCTTTGGTGTTTGGTCCTTAAAAAATACATGGAAGCATAAAGTCAAATCGTCTGCTGCTATGGACGATCTGAAGGAGCCCCATATCCCACACCTGAGAATAAAGCAAAACCATGTTTACATAGCATAACTGGGTTTTTAAAGACACCGAAACTCTCACTACAAGGCATCACAACAAGAAAAAGCAGGAGTCCTAGGGCAGCAAACTTATCCAGAAATCTCTACTATACCTTGGGATGGCCCAACTGCTGATAATGAAGGCTGTGCCCATACATGAGGCAATTAATGTAGAACAAGTTTCCTACAGGTGGAAAAAGGTAAACTACTCAACCCTAAACCTGTATGCATACTCTCTCTCTCTCTCCAAATAATAGACATGTACAGAGAAGATCACCCACAGTCAGTGCATGCAGAGATCATAATACTGATACTCCATGATGGGCATCCATGATTACAGAAGCAGCTGCAGTCTGCAGACAGGTACTGCGGGCTGTCAGGCTGAACCCATGTTCTTCCTGCCTGTGTCTCCTGCCTTTCCTGCCCAAAGCTTCCAAAGCAAACTCACCACAGAGTGGCTAGCTTAGCAGTGGTCTTATTTTCCCAGTGAGACTCTGGAAGCTTGAAGTCACTGAGTGGGCCGCTGACTTGTGAGGCTTTTGGCCTGGCTTCTCCTAGTGTCCTCACAGCTCTTTGCCTTGAGTGTCTGGGCCCTAACTGCATCCTGTGGAACAGGAATCAGGTAGGATTATATCTCCCTGACAAAGCCATTTAGTCTATAACTGTGACCGCCCCAACAGCAATCAGCTCCTTAGAAGCCCTTTCTACAAGTTAGCACAGCTTAGGTTTCAGCAGATGGTTCGGGAGGAGCACAAGGCAAAGCACAGTAACAATTCTTCACTGTCTCCCAAAGACAAAGAACCATCTCCCGTGTTGTGGCACTTTCTATCCAGTGTTTTCACCCTGGATGTATGGAGTTTCAAATCAGAACAAGCTACAGAACCTACAAAGACTGGAGATGAATGCATGTGCACAACACACACACACACACACACACACACACACACACACACACACACATATGCACCCTAAGGAGTTTAGTGGCATCACAGAAACGTGTGGTGATGGGAAACACGCATTTTCTAACACCTTACACTGACAGGCCAAGAATGATTCAGGCTTTTCTTTACTAAGTGATACTCCCCATGAACGTTTAAATATTTAGATGTTCTGATTTCCAGGTTAGCTTTCTGAGCAGAAATGTGCCACTGTTACTTGCATAGGAACACAGACTTGTTAAAGTCTGGAATGGAGCAGTGTACAAAAGGGAAGGGCTTTGGGTCTGGAACGCTAATGGGCACTTGTCATTTCAGCACTTGGGGGGTAGAGACTGAAGGTTCACTGTAAGTGTGATCCAGCATGGTCTACAAAGAGCATCCTACAAAGGGAGGAAGGAAAAGAAGGAGGGAGAGAGGGAGGGGGAAGTGAGAAAGAATGAAAAGAGAAAGGAAGGAAGAAGAAGGGAGGGAGGGAGGAAGGAAGAGAGGAGGAAGGAAGAAAGGGGGAAGTAAGAGGAGAGAAGAGGAAGGAAGGAAGGAAGGAAGGAAGGAAGGAAGGAAGGAAGGAAGGAAGGGAGAAAGGGAAGGAAGCAAGGGAGAAGAAAGGAGGGAGAGATGAAGGAAAGAAGAAGGGAGAGAAGAAGGAGAGAAAGGAAGGAGGAAGGAAGAGGTCGAGGAGCAAGGAAAACAGGAAGTGAAAGGAGAAAAGAAGGGACAATGGGGGAGAATATGATTCTGATCTCTTGGAAAACTACATATCCATTAAGATACAGCATTATTTTTTTACATTTGCCTTATTGAACTACAACAGACCACATGGCTTAAAACAACCAAAACTGTTCTCTCCTAACTCTGGAGGCAGGAAGTCCAAACTCCAGGTATCACAAGGGTTAGCTCCCCCTGAATATCCGGCAAAGCCCGTTTTAGTTTCTTGACACTGACAGCCTTTGGTGGTTTGGGCTTCTAAACACATCATTCTCATGTGGTGTTTTCCTCTGCATGCCAAATTTCTTTCTTATAAGAACACTAGCTATTGGCACAGGGCCTATCCTAATCGGAATGACTCTACTGGTGTCGTCCCACATGTGAACACTCTGTTTCCAACGTCACCTTCCCAGGACCTGGGTAGTTGTGAGTGTTGTGTAGATACTCTTCAACCCAGCACAGTCACTGTACCAAAACAGCAGAGCAGGTAAATCCCGAGCAGGTAAATCTGCATCCCCAGCAGTGATTTTAATACACAGTCACAGCTGAGGAGCTGTCCCAGAGTTTAAAACTTTGTGGATTTAAGGGCGCTGTAGGCACAGCAAAAGAACAACTATTTTTTTTTAATTGTTTACCTGGTAAGGGAACAATCTCTTCCATTTCTAAAACTTAGCAAGAAAGCTACCAGAGTCAAAAATTAAGCAAGTTCTTAAAAATCTGTTTCTCCAAAGAAGATCTACAAGTGGGAAATAAACAAAAAATAAGTGCTCAAGACGACCAGCAACCGGGGAAGAACAGAGCAAGCTATGACAGGATTCCACGTCACTATCAGGAAAGAGAGGTCGCTATTAAAAGACGAGAAAATGACAAATGTCTCCTCTGGGTAGCCATGCTTTTCTCGAGAACTGACTCAAGAAAAGGGTGGAGAAGGTGTTAGGACAGCTCGCACCAGCAGCATTTCAGAGCTTGCAATCTCAGAGAGCTTGTCTTTCTGGAAGGTTCCATTTCTATGTAATAGGAGAAACCTGCTGGCATTTCCTGCCCCGTCATTAACATGGCTCACTATGGGGGGGGGGATGTCTGGGTGAAATGGAGACTGGAGGTGCACTCTTAAGACTTCCGGCCTCCATGAGTGCCCCATTGTGCTCTAGGTGGGCTGTGAAAGAGCTGTGTTCCCAGAGAGCAAAGTACTCCCAGTGGGAACCTGAACACAGAAGCTCTGCCTGGGCCAGAAGCTTCACTCAGTAATTACTGCCCAGACCTGAAATGTATGTGGGTCCTTGAAGTTTGTCCCCAGGGGAAAGACTAATGAGTATAGAGATAATTTTGGTGTTTTATAACCCCCAATGACGTTATGTAAACATGTGTTTGTTTTAGTCCCAGGGGTGGTATATGGGGCTGCTTCAGATTGTCCACATCAGGAGAGTATTTGTCTCATGTGCGCTCTGGCAGGGGTGTGATTCTGCCAGCTGAAGATAATTTAATTCTGGGGACTCTAGGGCTGGAGAGATGGTTCAGTGGTTAAGAGCACTGGCTGTTCTTTCAGAGGTCCCTGGCCAGCACCCACATGGAAGCTCACCACTGTCTGTAATTCCAGTTCCTAGAGGATCTGACATCCTCACACAGGCATATGTAGGGCCCAAACAGCTGTGCTGCCATGACAGACTTCCTAAGATACTGTAGGCCTGAGTTTCTGTTTCCTGGTCATGTTCCCACAGTTGCTTAAATGATGTTTCTATTTCCCAGAACATAAAATTAGAGTCCATGGAAACGAGATACAATAACTCAATAACTGCCCTGAAAATCAGAAACAACAACCTAGAGTAACTGCTTTGAAAAGTCCCCAAGCGGGGGCGGAGCCAAGATGGCGACTAGCACACACAGTTTCCGAGCTGTGGAAGAGATAAAGTTCTGAGTTGATGAGTGGAAGAACTTCTGAAGCCAGGGAAACAACGGAGAGACTTTCTAAACAACAGGGAACATCGCAGGAGGTGAAAACCTTGGTCTCGGGTCACCCAGGGACTTGTTTGGGGAAGGTGAGAAACGATCCTTTGATCTCTCGGCACTCCCCTCCCCCAGACCTCCCTCCTCCTCGGCACAGCGGACTCGCCTTTCTCAGCGCAGACCTAACTGCCTGGGGCCTGCAGCCACTGAGGCTGAGCCCCAAGCCCTTTATCGGCAAAGGCCAGCAGTACTGTGTCTTGGAGCCCCAGATTCACGCGGCGGCTGCACCATCCTCCCAGGGCCCGAGTCTGCTAGACGACATACTAGCTCCGCAGGAGCGTCATCACTGACGGTATGGCCCGCCCAATCCCACAGTGACAGAGAATATGCTATATACTCACCAAAACCAGACAGAAACACCATACAAGCTAGACACACCAGGCGCTGGGCCTCCGAAGCTTGGAGAGCACAGTGAAGAGACCCCAGGACTTCCCAGAAAGCATCTGGACTAGCAACCCAGTCTCCAGTTACAGCGGGACTTTCTAACCTGGCGGCGGAGCAGCACTGAGCTGGCGGGGCACATCAGCCCTCAGTTTAAGAGGGCACATCAGTTTAAGACTAACCAGGGCCAAACCAGAGAACAGAAAGGCTGGTTACCCCGATTCCCACTGACGTGACCACCCTGAAATCTCCAGCTGCAGCAAGACCTCATAACCTGGCAGTGACAGCAGCACGGAACTGGCGGAGCACATCAAAGAAGCAGGGCCAAACCAGAGAGCAGAGAGCCCAGATATGCCGATCTCTGCCAAGTGTCCTACCTGTAAGTGAGTGCACCCTTGAGAATCTGCAGCTCCACTGATCCTGGGTTCTTCTA